TGGCCGGAGAACCCACCTGCAAAATTTTGGCGCCGAAGCTTGCTTGGGTGGCGAGTTAAAATACCCGGACAGACGCACACACACACGTACACACACACACACACACATACCGGGGTCGCCACAATATGCATTTTCGCATTTGCGTATATGCAAAAACGCATAATCACTTTCGAGTTGAGCAGGTTCCCAACTGAAGTTTCAGCGTCTAGAAATACCAGACAGAAAATCCCCACTACCGAGAATTCGATTACAATTGTCTGGTCGAGATGAAAAAATTTGTACGCAAAAACGTGGCGAAACTGCCTGATCTGCTGCACTCGTGCACTGAGGCTAAACTATCAGTCCTTCTTGATATTATTAGTTAAAAGCATGACTCTCGTTACAGCAGTGATGAGCTTCGCCCAGCAATATTACTGACATTATTATTATTTATTATTATTATTTATTATTATTTATTATTATTACTTATTATTATTTACCATTATTATTTATTATTATTATCATTATCATTATTGTTACTATCACTATTATTAACATTACTGTTATTATTGCTATTATTATTATTGGTTTGGAATGACCCAGCTGATTATCCGAGCAATTTTGATATTCGCTGGCGCCAATTTCAGTAATGAAGGGAGAGCGAGGATGGAGCAGTGCTTCGAGGAAATGCAACAAAATTTTCATCACTGAATATCAAATTTGTACAGTAGCTTTTCCCAGAAAGTCTGAGGAGCACACCACGAAACCTCAGACTCAAATCAGTGTGATTCTACAACTTCAAAACTGAGTGAAATTAAAATTAGAGATTCTGCCGCTTCAGTTCAGCATTTTCTCGGCCAACACCTCAAGTCCCCCGAATTGCAATACGTCTCCCAAAGCGAACTCACAAGTTCAGAGCCAAGGAAGCTATGAATCTGAAACTCCGACACTTCTCATTTGACAACATTTGCTTGACCAGTCGGACGGAGTTAACAGGGCAGAACTCCGCACTTTTTTCATCCCTTTTAATTTAAAAGCCTTATTCTCCCAATTTTTAATTTTTGAAAAAAAAATCAAAAAACACTGTTGACTGAAATTTTCCTCGATAACATTTCAGATCAATTTCTGATTGAAACCGTTTAATCCTCACAAATCCTTGTATGTGATGTTAATTTTCGCGCTTATTTCACCGCATATTTAACTCAAATCCTCTTCATCAAGAAACCACGATGTCTGCATTCCTTGGCTGCTTTTGTAAGAAGGATACGTGCTGCCTAGGATGTAATCCGAATTCCGGTGTCCACTTGGCTCGAGGTCTAATTCCGGTGTCCACTTGGCTCCTTAACTATTTCTTCAGCAGCAAATAAAACGGTGGCTGTCATTACGAACATATCGGTTAATTGTAGGTCCTGGAGAGTACCACGGTGATTTCTGGAATGCTACGGTAGTTTCTTAGCGTGTATATTTCAATGAAAAAATCGGTACTCTTTACTGTCTTTTACAGCAAATGATACCTAAGAAGACAAGACGAGTACAGTGTAAGGAGACTGTATTAGTGCTACTAATTGTGCTAGAAGCAATACGATACAGTACACACACTGGACATCTTGAGCCATCTACTACATCGTCATCATTAACATCAGATACGCTACGTGCAAATGAGGGACGAGGGAAATAATTTGCATAAGAGAGAGAGAGAGGAGAGCTCATAAACAAGAGAGATATAAATGCATTTCTTTTTTCAAAATGATAACTGTACAGTGCTTGCATATGGGATTATTGTGATTAATATTGGAACTCATAAATGAGGGTAACTGTGCTTCCTATGAGATGAACCAACAGCAACTTTATGATAGGGAGAGGGAGGAAGAGAGAGAAATGTACAGGACGAATAAATGCAATAAGAAAACAAAATGCAGAAGAACAAATTCTTGAAAACAATCCGAAAGCTCTTCGTGCAATCATCGTTGTGGAGTAATGATCAGCATGCATGGTACTTTGTTAGATTCAGCACAAACTTCTTAATACAACAGAGGAGGCGGATGTACAGCATACTACTACTGATGGGGATGATAGAAGAGATACACATGAATAGCGCCGCGACTATGGAACAACTACTGCTACAGTAATCTCAATTCAACGTCTTTGAATGCTAGGATTGGGGAAATAGCGCGCAGGATGGGATGGCAAATGAATAAAATTATTGGATGCGTGAAAACGTAGCAAACAATGCATTACACAGCAATGCATCTCAAACAATCTATCACGAAGGAACAAACTGCGCGCAACAAAACGTCAGTAGAACCGCTCATAATATGTGGACTGCTTGAAGCAAGATGAAGCACCAACCACTGGGTATAGAATTCAGTAATCTCAGACAAAAATTTGCAAAAAAAGAAAAAATTTTAGTAGCCATGCAGCAGTAAAAGGGGAAAGAGGTTTTTTGAAACGTTTGAATGAATTTTTTCTTCCTAAGCGTGATGCGTCTAGTACCATAATTTTTGGAGTAAAAAAATTAGCTGATGGTAAGATTTCAAAAAAAAAAAAAGAAAAAAGAACTGCTTTCTTCCAAACGATCATAAATTTATGAACTGCTTTCTTCTAAATTAAAAATGAAAATTCCAAAAAAAATTTCAAAAAATAAAGTGCGTATTTTCTGGAACGCAGTATTGTTTGTCATCAGAATTCTAAACTGCATTTGATTCAGGTACTTCTA